CGGCCCCGGCCCCGTTCGGCACCGCCATGACTGCGCGCCAACGCGACACTGCCGCCGAGCCCCGCGCGCTTTGCGGCCGTCTCCCGGCAACGCCGGCCGCGCCTTACGGCTCTGCCCTCTTGGCGGGCTCGTCGCCGTGGCGACGCCGCGGCTCGCGCCTCCTCGCCGCGCTTTGCGGCTCTCCTGAGGGCGTCGCCATGACGACGGCGCGCTCTGCGCGGCAGTGCCGCGCCGAGAGGAGGTAACCGTGGTAACGCGGCGCTTCGCGGCGGCGCTTTACGGCGCGACCCCGCTTCTGAGGGGGAACGCGGGGGTTGGGGGTCCCCGGGGGGATTTTGGGGTCTCCAGGGTGATTTTGGGGGTCCCTGAGGTGATTTTGGGGCTCTCCCGGCGGTTTCGGGGACTCCGGGACGGTTTCCATGGTAACGCCGCCCGGCACGCCGGTCGCCATGGCAACGCGCTGCGCTTTTGCGACAGGCGCTTCCCGCCCTCCCGCGCGCTTTACGGCCGGAGCCGCGGAGAGAGGAAAAAAAAAGTGACGTCACCCGAGGCGGGGGCTGAATAATGACGTCACGGCCCGCGTGTGACGTCACGGGGATTCCCCCCCTCCCCCCGCGCGCGCTCAGTCACAGCCGGGGCCGCGTTTGGGGTTTTTGGGTTTTTTTTTTGTTTTGTTTTGGGGGTTTTTTTAGGTTTTTTATTTTGTTTTTTTTCCATGGGGCGCCCCTCCCCCACCCCCCCACCACCGCGACCCCTGGATGTGGCAGTAGGCCTCCAGGCTGGCGAAGAGCACGTAGAGCAGCCAGAGCAGCAGGAAGAGCCCGGCCGTGAGGATTTTGGGGGCGCGGGGCCCCCCCAGCTCGCCGCCGATGGGCGCGCGGCGCCGCCAGAGCAGCACGCCGATGGCGAGGAAGGCGAAGATGGTGAAGAGCGTGACGGGGAAGGCCAGCGTGCCCGGCGGCACGCGGAACGGCCGGCCCTGCGCCGCCCAGTAGACGGCGGCCACCGACCAGGCCAGCCCCAGCCCCAGGAAGACGTTGACGGCGTTGGAGCCCGTCACGTTGCCGATGGACGCGTCGGCGCACGGGTCCTGCAGCGCGGCCACGCGGCTGGCGAACGTGTCTGGGGACACGGCGGGCGTTGGGGACGGCGGGGACACAGGGGGCAGTGGGGACAATGGGGGCAGCGGGGACAATGGGGGCGTTGGGGTGTTGGGGACATCGAGGACAATGGGGACAGAGGGGACATTGGGGACAATGGGGGCAGTGGGGACAGCGGGAACAGCAGGGACATCAAGGACATCGGGGACATTGGGAGCATTGGGGACATCAGAGGCATTGGGGTGTTGGGGACAGTGGGAACATGGGGGACATTGGGGACATTGGGGGCATTGTGGATGTTGGGGACATCAGGGATGTTGGGGACATTGGGGACGTTGGGGACGTTGGGGGGATTGCGGACATTGGGGGCGTTGGGGACATCGGGGACACTGGGGACATCGGGGGTGTTGGCCATATTGAGGACATGAGGGGGACAGCATTGGCCAAGTCCTTGAGGCCGAGGGTCCCTGTCCCTGGTCCCACCCTGTGTCCCCAATGTCCCCAATGTCCCCAAGGTGTCCCCAGTGTCCCTCACCGGGGATGGAGGTCCCGAGGGCGACGAAGACGATGCTGTTGACCGAGTCCTTGAGTTCCTGTCCCTGGTCCCACCCTGTGTGCCTTCTGTCCCCAATGTCCCTGTGATGTCCCCAATGTCCCCAATGTCCCCAAGGTGTCCCCAGTGGCCCTCACCGGGGATGGAGGTCCCGAGGGCGACGAAGACGATGCTGTTGACCGAGTCCTTGAGTTCCTGTCCCTGGTCCCACCCTGTGTCCCCAATGTCCCCAATGTCCCCAAGGTGTCCCCAGTGGCCCTCACCGGGGATGGAGGTCCCGAGGGCGATGAAGACAATGCCATTGACCGAGTCCTTGAGGCCGAGGGTCCCTGTCCCCCATCCCATCCCCTCACCCCCATGTCCCCAATGTCCCCAAGGTGTCCCCAAGGTGTCCCCAGAGTCCCTCACTGGGGATGGAGGTCCCGAGGGCGATGAAGACAATGGCATTGACCGAGTCCTTGAGGCCGAGGGTCCCTGTCCCCCATCCCCTCCCCTCACCCCCATGTCCCCAATGTCCGCAAGGTGTCCCCAAGGTGTCCCCAGAGTCCCTCACTGGGGATGGAGGTCCCGAGGGCGATGAAGACAATGCCATTGACCGAGTCCTTGAGGCCGAGGGTCCCTGTCCCCCATCCCCTCCCCTCACCCCCATGTCCCCAATGTCCGCAAGGTGTCCCCAAGGTGTCCCCAGAGTCCCTCACTGGGGATGGAGGTCCCGAGGGCGATGAAGACAATGCCATTGACCGAGTCCTTGAGGCCGAGGGTCCCTGTCCCCCATCCCATCCCCTCACCCCAATGTCCCCAATGTCCCCAGCGTCCCTCCCCGGGGATGGAGGTGCCCGGCGCCAGGAAGACGACGGCGTTGACCGAGTCCTTGAGGCCGAGGGTGCAGCCGAAGTGCGCGGCCAGGTCGCCGATGAGGGCGGTGAGCAGCGCGAGGAGGAGGATGGAGACGCCGAAGGCCGCCCAGCCCCCCAGCAGCGCCGTGGGGGGCACGCAGGCGAACAGAACCTTCCAGAACACCGTCAGGAAGTGCATGACGTAATCGAAGCACGACGGCAAGCGCTCCTCGCGGCCCTCGTCGTCCTCGTCCTCGTCGCCTGCGGGGACGCCGGGGCGTCACCCCGGGGGGGACAGCGGGGTGGTGGCACCAGGGTTGGGGTCACCGGGGTGGTGGCACTGCCAGGGTTGGGGTCACTGGGGTGGTGGCACCAGGGTTGGGGTCACCGGGGTGGTGGCACCACCAGGGCTGGGGTCCCCAAGGTGGTGGCACTGCCAGGGTTGGGGTCACCGGGGTGGTGGGACTGCAGTTGGGGTCCCCAAGGTGGTGGCACCGGGGTTGGGGTCCCCAAAGTGGTGGCACTGAGGTGGCAGCCAAAGGGGACCGTGGGCGAGGTGGGAAGAACCCAAGAGGACTTTGGGGACACCTTGGGGACACCTTGGGGACACCTTGGGGACACCTGCGCTGACGGTGACCCTGAGGACCCTGGGGATGGTGTCACCTCAAGGACCCTGAGGGGACACTGGGGACACCACCCCCAGGGACACCTCGGGGACACCGGGGACACCTCGGGGACACCTCGGGGACACCTGCGTCCCCGCGCCACCTGCGCTGACGGTGATGGCCTCCAGGAACTGCTCGCGCCACGAGTGCGTGCCGATGACGGTGGCCAGGTTGGTTTTCTTCATCAGCTTGTCCACCGTGTTCTGGGGACACCGGGGACGTCAGGCCGCGTCCCCCGGCCGCCCCCGGTGTCCCCTCGGTGTCCCCAGGGTCACCTTGAAGTCGTAGGACTCCTCGATGACCACCTCGAGGCGCCGGTTGTCGCCCAGCACCGGCTTGCCCATGTCGGCGATGCGCCGCGCCTCCTCCTCCTCGGCCGACAGCGCCCGCTCGCCGTCGCCTGCCGCGACACCGGGGACGTGGGGACGCCGCGGGGACACCGGGGGGACACCGGGGGGACACAATGGGGACACAATGGGGACACAATGGGGGACACTGGGGACGTGGGGACACCGTGGGGACACAGTGGGAGACACTGAGGATGTGGGGACACCGGGGGGACACAGTGGGGACACAATGGGGACACCATGGGGGACACTGGGGACGTGGGGACGCCGCGGGGACACCGGGGGGACACCGGGGGGGCATGGGGACACAATGGGGACACAATGGGGACACCGGGGGTTCACAGTGGGGACACAATGGAGACACCGAGGATATGGGGACACCAGGGACGTGGGGACACCGCGGGGACACCGGGGGGACACAATGGGGACATGGGGACACAATGGGGACACAATGGGGACATGGGGACACCATGGGGCACAATGGGGACATGGGGACACAATGGGGACACAATGGGGACACCGGGGGTTCACAGTGGGGACACAATGGAGACACCGCGGATATGGGGACACCAGGGACGT